GTATATTCCATGGCATTACTCATCTTCTCCTTGCTAACTGGATCAGTAGCAGTATTCCTAATCTTTGTTACTCGGTTCTGGGGCCAAAGCACCGTGTCATTAGGGCTAGCTGAAGACATGCTTTCGGAATCCCAAAAGGCATACAGAGAAGCTAGATTTTTCTGATTTTTCTGATTTTCTTATTCCCAACATCCAGCCTCAGAAATTTTGGTTCCTTTAAAGGTTTCTCTCAAAAGCCTGTCTCCTCCATAAAGCTTCTTTTGTTTTAAGGCTGGAAGTCAATATCAACGTTTGACTTTTTTTTGCCTTTTTTACCTCACTGAAGCATCTTTGAATGGTTAACTTCTGAATAATTTCAAGCTTCCAGTAACATGTCTGTTCACCTTATATGTTCAGTAATTCCACTCAAGCAGTCATTGAGCTTTATGCAATGTGCTACTATGCATTGGGAATATAATCAGATGGATCCATGATCTCATCACTTTAGATATTCTGTCTAGTAAGGTTAGTTACAACACATCCATGCTCTGAGGTGGGGGGGCATTGACAAAAATGAAGCAATAGCCCCCTCTACCCCCCAGCCTCAAGTCCTGCTTCATATTAGATGGTGATTGCATTGATATTGAGAGGATACCATGATTAATGGTCTGTGTAATCATGAAGACAATTCTAAATCATGATGAAAATTAGCAGTTTCAATTCTTGGAACTGTGCCCTACAGATCAAAATTTCCAGGTTAGATTAAATCATGGTGGCTTTATTTATTTATTTATTTGCTTTTTGGTGAGGCCATCGGAGTTAAGTGACTTGCCCGGGGTCACACAGCTAGTAAGTGTTAAGTGTCTGAGGTGGATTTGAATTCAGGTCCTCCTGACTCCAGGGCTGGTGCTCTATCCACGGCGCCACCTAGCTGCCCCAAGAATCTCTATTTTTAAGACAGTTTTTTACTATCTTACTCGATTACTTATTCCCTATTAAGAAACAATTTTGGATCTGTATATTCTTTGTTGCCCTCTTGGTACAGAAATTGTATCAGAGAGGTTGAGAAACTTATTTTGGGTCACTGAGAGGCTAGAGCAGAGGTGCCAGAACTCCCCAGTATAGCTGAACTGGATTAAAATGTAATTGAGAAATATTTAACAAGATAAATGAAAACATAGCACAAGCTAGGTGACGGTAATGTGTTTTCTAATTTGGTCTATATTGGTTTCAAACACATAGAAACAGGCTCCACTAAAGCACTGTATGTAAGGATCCCTGTGGGCCACAAATTGGCTGTTTTATTCTATCTTCTACACATTAATATTATCTGTGTTTTATTGTGTCTTTATTCATTTTGTCAAATATTTCCCGATTACATTTTGGTTTGGGCAGCATGTACAGAGGTACAAGAAACATATTAACATTCCCTCAGGGTCTTTTTTCAGGCCTTAATATGTTGGGGTGTCTGGCATTTATGAGATAGTTCAGTGAACAATTGTCCAGAGTTAAGCTAGGCCTTAACATATTTCGGGCCCCAGAGGAGCAAGAAGTGAGTTCAGCCCTGATCTTATAGAGCAGAGGTCGGCAAACTATGGCCCGTGGGTCAGATCTGGCCTGTTGCCTCTTTTTATACAGCCAGTGAACTGTGAATGGTATTCTCTTCCTGACTCCAACTCCAGGCCGCCAGCTGCCTACATAAAATGCAAATGAACATAGAATTGTAAAATACAAATAAAATTGCAAAACCATTATCTTCCTCTTGTACAGATAGAATGTTGGAATTAAATGTAGTTTAGGTCTCACCCTGTGAAGCTTGCTTAGTTGCTCGTGTTCTTAGAACTGTCAGTTTCCCAAGTATGTTGTATATTAACAGAGTTTAACCAAGTTTAACCAAGTATGTTGTATATTGATTTGACCTTCTTGGAGGAAAGAGCAAATTCAAAAGGGTGAGAGAAGAAATAGATGGAGGATGTAAAAATTTGGTCAAGGTGGTTATAAGATCAGCACAGTAACTAGGAATTTTTGTATCTGGAACCAGTGGCATGAAAGGTACCATTTAGGGATGTATATGTGTGTGTGTGTGTGTGTATAGGCTGTAGTCCCTTTGGGGGAGGTAGAGACAAGGGTACGCCGTAACATTATTTTTTGGGAGGTTACCTATCTGCCAGGTGCCCAACCCTTCTCCAACTAAGCCATTTGTCAGAATCCTGTTGTAGCTATTATTCTTGATTTTTGGGTACTGAGGTCAGTGGATCCTTCACACTTGGCATTTAAAGAGTCTGATTACAGCAGAATGGGGCTAGAGTTAGTAACCCTTAAATTAAACAAATGGTTTTGGGTAGGGGGAATGGCTGAAAGAGGACTTAAGCTAATTTACCTCCCTCCCCCCAAAAAAAAACACCTTAAAATATCATGTTACAATTGCAAAGGACCTTAGGCATCATCTTGTCTGACTCTTTAATTTTGCAGCCTCAGTGGCCTTCCAGTTACTCTTTAGAATTAATAAAGATTGAATAAGTGATGAGAAGAATAATAGAAGGTAGTATGAGGGGGAAGGAACTTGGACTGAAAGGCAAAGGTGGGGAAGAGTTGCATTTTTTAAAACATTTTTCTTTTTCTTGTTTTTTTTTTATATCACCCTGAGGGTAGCAGAATACTTGGCTTGAGGTAGGGAAGTCCTGGGCTCAAATCCATTAGACATTTATTAGATCATGATTGAGCAGTTCACTTCACTTCACTTGTCATTGCTTTGGTTTCCTTATCTGTAAAACAAAGGATTTTCACTTAATATTAATAATAACTAATAATAATTTGACCCAAGATCCTTTGTGATTCTCAATCTGTGATTCTGTAACTCCCCTTTTCCAATTTCATACAATCAGAATTAACTATTTTACCTTTTGTAAATTTAATTTGTAAATTGTAAATTTACCTTTTGTGATTGCTTGATGTTAGCAATTCTCTTCCAGCTATAACTATGAAAGGTACCTGACGTGGTTTTCTTCTAATTTTTTTTTTCTTTTATGGTCTGACCTTCAGTTTTCATGTTGAGTATCTCTTTTGAGCTTATTGTGGTATATGGTAGAAAATGTTGGTCTAAATCTAATTTCTGCCAGCCAGTTGAGTCAATAAGCATTTTCATAAGCACCTACTATGTGCGATACTGTTCTGGGGACCCACAGGGAGGCGAAATATAATCCCTGCTTCCAAGGAGCTCCCAGTCTGCTTTCCAGTTTTCCTTGCAGAGCTTGTCAGATAAGAAGTTCTTACCCCAATAAACTTGTCAGGTTGATCAAACATTGGGTTATTGAGGTCAAAGCCTTCTGATGCTCCCTTCAGTCTGCTCCAATAACCTACTTTACTTTTTATTTTTTTAACCAGGACCAAATATTTTTAGTGTTTACCTCTTTGTAGTATAATTTGATGACTACAGTTCTTAGTTATATTGTTTAAAGAAGGGGACATTGCCATAAAAGTGGGTGGTGTAATAATGGAAAGTTGTTATGTTTTCTAGTGTAACATAATGAATGTTTTATTACTTCCTCCTTCATTTTTCATTTGGGTATTTTGGGCAGTCATTGTTTTCAGTTTTTTTTTTAAAGCCTTCTCAGTCACTTGAAGTCACATTAAAACAAAACAAAACATGAGCTCTTGTTCTGAGACTTCTTGTGCTGTGATGTGAGAGGAGGCGTTGAGTTTCAGCCTCATCTTAGAGAAGGTGGGAGGACGGCAGCATTTGCTTTAGACCAGCATCTGTAATTTATGAATTTCCTCATCTGTAAAATGAGGGCTTTGGGCTAGATAGCCCTTCCAGCTGTAAATCCATGGTCCTCTGCCTATGGACTCCTCATCTGAAGTAGCTTTCAGTTGTATGTCTCTGCGGAAAAGAATCAATGTGGAGCTGCTGTTGGGAGTAAGGGAAAGGGAGGGAATAAGCATTTATTTAGCACCTTGTGTGTGCCAGGTACTGTGCTAAGTAAGCTCTTTACAAATATTTTCTCATTTGATTCTCACCACAACTCTGAGGTAGATGCTGTTATTACCATTTTATATTTGGAAAAGCTGAGGTGGACAGAGGTTAAGTGACTTGGCCAGGGTCATACAACTGGGACATGTCAGAGACCAGATTTGAAATCAGGTCTTGATCACTCGAGGCTTGGCACTCTGTGCCAGCTAGCTGTGATTGCTTTTCCAAGCTCAGTCATTTGTTGTTGTTGTTCAGTCACGTCCAATCCTTTGTGACCCCATTTGGGGTTTTCTTGGCAAAGATACTAGAGTGGTTTGCCATTTCCTTCTCTGCTCTCATTTGGCAGATGAGGAAACTGAGGCAAACAGGGTTAAGTGACTTGTCCAGGGTCACCCAGGTAGTAAGTGTCTGAGTCTGTATTTGAACTTAGCAAGAGGAGTCTTGCTCACTCCAGGGCCTGCATTCTCCCCATTCCACCACCTGGCTGGCCCTGCCTGGTGGGCTACCATTGTTGAAAACTCAAGGTTACTTTGCATTGATTAAAGGGTTATCAAGTAAAGTGCTCTGGTTGGCTGACTTGGAGCATTTTCTGTCCCCAGTAATGGAGTGTGTGTGTGTGTGTGTGTGTGTGTGTGTATTGTATACACACAACTCAGACTTTTCCTTGGTTTTCATGACAAAGAAAGCTCAGAGTCATGGGATTGAATAGAACACATAATAGAATCTCACCTTGGCATCATCTTCACTCCTGACCTTCATACCTGATTTTAAGGGACTGACTCGAGAGAGTTCTAAGTGATTACTTACAAGATATTTTCCATAGGAGACAGGTTTGTTCTTTGTAAAGCAGATAGATTATGTTTTCTTAAGCACTCGATTACTTTTCTTAAGCACACTTTCTGGTACATAGCAAATGCTTAATAAATGCGTGTGGACTGACTTATTCTCTATGTGGAAGGTCTCAGTGGTGCTCCATGTCTCTGGTAGAATAAATTTGCTAAAGACCTGGATTTGAATTGAGTATAAATCATGATTTTTTTTCTTCTTTTAGGTCTGTCTGTGGCCCAGAGGAAGTTTGCCCATTCACTAAGAGACTTCAAATTTGAGTTCATTGGTGATGCTGAGACTGATGATGAGCGATGTATAGGTATGTAAGAACAATAGGGGAAAGGTTAAATTGTGTATTAGTGTTAATTGGTATATATGATTCATTGATGTTTGATTAATGCAGTGGAACACTATTTTGCAATTAAAATTGAGAAGTATAAGGAATATAGGGAAATATAGAAAAAGCTGGATTAGATAATGTCTAATGGAAAAAGAGCAGAATTGGAAGATATGTCAGTTGTGTGAACTACAAACACATGAGAGGAAATATGAATGAGTCCTTACAGAAACAGAATAAAATAGAATTTGGGCTGTTTTGTGGTATCAGTTTCATTATTTAATTGTGAATAGTTGCAAAGTGAGAAGTTACTATTGAATAATGTCTGGAGAGGGAGTCTTAGAATCAGGAAGACCAAGGTTCCAGTCCTTTCTCTGACCCATAATGGCTTGATGACTCTGAGCCGATCATGGGCTCTTAGCAACTCTCTAAGGCTACTAAATTCTAGAGCACATCTCTATCTGTATTGGTAGGAGGGGTTCTCCTTATTAGGAGTTCCAATACCAATGAAGTCACAGGTCCAAAGCCCAGAAGAAAGTTACAAAATAAGTTTAATTGATCATATTGGTGTTCAGTTTTGCTTGCAAATATTAAGTGCTGACAAATGGTCTCGTTTTCCTTTCATAATTAAACTATCCACTTCTCTTTCCCTTTGCAGATGCTTCACTCCGAGAGTTTTCAAATTTCTTAAGGAATCTGGAAGAACAGAGAGAAATCATGGTGAGTTGGAGATGGGGAGTGATCAATCAGGATGCTCAGTGTTGGAGATTTGGGTTTCTGGATAGTTTTGATAGGAATAATTTGCTGTATTTTTTCATAGAGGTAGTATACCTATGTAGTGGGGAAAAACAAGAGAGATTTAGGTTCTGGTTTTGGAGGTTTGCCAGGAGTGACTTGCTGTGTGACTTGGGTCTCGTCACTTACCCTTTCTAGGGCTTTTCGTTGTCACCTGTAAAATCAGGGGGCCTGATGGAATGTTTTGTGAGGTCCGTCTGAGTCTTGTCAGTGATGGTCAAAGCTGCTGCTGAGACGTGACGCTCAAGTTAAGATTTTTTCCATCTGTCTTTCCTTCTTCTGTTGCTGAGGAGTTGTATGTTTTTATCCTGTTCTAATAGAATCACCTTAACTTACATTTATGTACCAATTCAAGGTTTACAATATGGTTTATTATTAAAAGTAATTATAAAGGGAATGGTGTGTGTGTGTGTGTGTGTGTATGTGTGTGTGTGTGTGTGATGCCTTTGCAAAGACTATAGATGTAATAGGTGGTTTTGTTCTTTGCCATTGAGGGAGAGGATAGACAAGGAATTTGTGTGGTAGAAGACTGGGGGAAAAAAAGGCTTCTTTGAAGAAGAACACTGGTGGTTCAGTGGGTGAAATGATGGGCCTGGAGTCAGGAAGACCTGAGGTCAAATCGGGCCTCAGATACTTAGTAGTTGTGTGACCGTGGGCAAGTCTCTTAATCCCATTTGTCTCAGTTTCCTCATCTGTAAAATGAGCTGGAGAAGGAAACGGCAAACCACTCCAGTAATTTTGCCTACAAAATCCCAAATGAAGTCACAAAGACTGAACAACAACAGCAACAACAAAAGAACATTGGATTTGGAGTCACAGGGCCTGGATTCAAATCCTGGCTCTACCATTCACTACCTGTTTAATCTTGGACAAGTTGTTCCACATTTCTGGGCTAGTTTTTTAATATGTGAGGGTCCTTCCACCCTAACTCAATGACCTTATGATCTTGAGTTTCCAAAGGAATAGGAGGCACATATCCTTGGTGAATCCTTAGATATTTGGCTCTATTACAAGATTGTTTTACCCTTTTTTAATTAATCAGCAACCTCTACTATCTTCCAGGTACTCTGTAAGTGTCAGGGATGCAAAAGACAAAAATGAGAGTGTCTGTCCTCAAGGATCTTACATTCTATTTGGAGAAAGAACATGTGCACATACAATTATAAGGATAGGGATATGGATTGGACCTGTGGATTTCCTTGGTATAGGGAATTCTTGGTGGGGACACTCTCTTTACCAATGCAGGTTGCACTTCTGCAATTTATAGTCTAAGTGAGCTGCTTATGGCATTTAGAGATTAAGTAAGTAGACATGCCCAGGATCACACAGATAGTGTGTGTCAGATATGGGATTTAGATCCTTGTCTTCCATGCTCAGGACAAGCTCTGTAGCCCCTATCCTATGCTGCCTCTCAAAATATATTCAAGATAATTTTTTGGGGGGAGGGAAGGTACTTACAAGGAAGGATCAGAAAAGACTTCGTATAGAAGGTGTTTGAGTTGAGCTTTAAGGAAACAAGGGATTCTGAGAGGCGGAGATGATGAGGAAGGGCATGCCAGGCCAGAGGGGCAGCTTGGCCAAAGGCCTAGAGGCTAGAGAGGAAGCATCAATGGTGAGGAACGAACAGTAGGAAGGCCAGTTTGACTGGACTGGAGAGTGCATGACGGGACTAATATCTAACTTAGACGAGATCATTTGGAGCTGGATTGTGAAGGGCTTCACATTTCAAACAGAATTTTGCTTTTTTTTTTTTAATTGTATATGGAGTCACTGATCTGAGGAATGAAGTGGTTAGACCTGTATTTTAGGAAAATAATTTTGGCAACCATGTGGAGGATAAATTGGAATAGGGAGAGACTTAAGGCAAGGGAACCAATCAGGAGGGTCTTCTGATCTCTCTGGTGAGAGATTGCAGCCTGAAGGTAGGGTGTGGTTGGGGAGAGAGTAGAGAAGAGACCAGTATGTTATTACTGCTTTTTGAGTTGGTGAAAGCGAATGGTTAGGAACCAGAATGAAGTGTAGAATTCCAATTGGTGCATGTGTATTTTATTAGTTAATGTGTATCTTCTTAGTTAATCTCCAGTTCCTTTCTTAGAAACTTGGACACACGAAAAATGAAAAGCTAAATCGCGGGTTCTTTGGCTGTGCAGAAATACTGTTCTGCTATTGTCTTCCTTGGCTTTACCCGTCTTTTATTTTTATGTTTCTTGAAGTGACTGCATTAGGTTAAGAAATTAGAATGGGAAGAACAAGCCTGTAGGGTTACTTCTGGTCTATCTGATATGGCCAGATGGATGGAGTTATTGTTAGCTTATGTACCTATTTACATTTTGGCTACGAAGGTTGCTGGCCTGGTTTGCTGACTTTGAGACATCTGGGTGAGAGGTTCAGGGATTTAGCTGCAGAAATGGTGTGACGCATTGGAAAATGGTGCCTATACGATGTTGTGAGCTTCTAGAGAGGGGTGGCACAACCTATGTGAGGCTCATGGTCATAGAGTTCAAAGGGACCTCAAAGGTTATCTAGGCCAACATGTACCTTAAGCATCCATTCCAGACAGGTCAACATCAGTTTACACACTGTGTGTGTGTGTGTGTGTGTGTGTGTGTGTGTGTGTGTGTGTGTGTGCGCGCGCGCGCGCGCACGCGCGCCCTAGCAACCAGAGGGGGGAGGGGAAATCAGGAAAGACTTCATGTAGAAGGTGATGTTTCAACTAAGTTTTCCTAGGGATTCTAGTAGGTGGAGATGAGGAGGGAGGACATTCTAGGAATGGTGGGGAAAACTTGTGCAAAAACATGGAGATGGGAGATTTGTGACAGGGTCACATGTCTGGTAAGTGTCTAAAGTCACATTTGAATTCGGGTCTTGCTAACTCCAGATCCAGCTGTCCATGCACTTCACTATCTGTGCTTTTAAGTAGGAGTGTCCAGCAAAAGATGTTTAGACAGAGAGGAAGAAGATAAGAGAATTATAGCATGAAGGTCAAGGGAGAAGAGGGTCCAGAAGAAGGAGGTGGTCAGCTCAAAGACTTCAGATGTCAAAGAGGATAAAGGCTGAGAAAAGGCAGTTCAGTAATGATTCTTCTCATGGAATTTGCTTTTAGTGGCATCATAAACAAAAACTACTGTCTTATGAAGCTTGCTTCCTCCCCACCTCCGAGCCACCATGATAACATTACAATCCCAGACCACGCTTATTTTTCTGTTTCGACAACTTTCCACTAAATTTCCATTGTTTGTTTCTGCAAATCATCGGCATTTGATTAATGCCGAAAAGACCTTGTACTCCCCATAGCCGAGATCAATTTTCAACTTTTGATAGGGCGATAAAACACCAAGGAGTATGCAAAATACCATATAACATAAATGTTGATCAGCAAGCATTGATGAAGCATCAGTGCTCGCTTCTTGAGATAAAAGTACAAGGGAAGGGAAACAACCTCTCCTCTCCAGGATCTCACATTCTCTTAGTGGAGACAACATGGACATATATAACTGTATGCAGAAGAAAGAGAAAATAAATGCAAGGTAGACAAAAGAAATGCCCATTATATAAAAGTCCCAAATCTCCCATCTCCGTGTCTTTGCCAGATTTCGTCGAAGGGAAGTAGTGGGTGAGGTTAGTCGTACAAGAGTACATACTGTACTTTTGAACTTGGGCAACAGTCCAGGAATGTAAGGACTTCCAAAATAGTGCTCTGGTGATTCGGATGCTATTTTAAAAGTCCTTCATTGGGTATTCCTCTACCCTCTTTCCTATGGCTATTTTTTTTCCCTGCTGAAAAGATTTTTGAACGTTTTTGATGAGCTATTTCTGGGATATGGCAAATAATGATGCTTGCCTGGGAATCATGAAGCTGGAAATTCCTAGGCATTTATTTAGGGGCGGGGGAAGGGCAGCAAACAGGAGAAAAAAAAGTGTCAGGAGAGAGAAATAGACTTGAAATGCTCATGTCCTTCTGCACACACTATCGTTTCCTACCTCTTACCCTTTTTTCCTCACCTTCCCCAAATCCCTCCATAACCAGAATATAGAAGCAGCCACCTGAGGACTGGACAGTGGCTTGCCCGCTTTCTAACATAAGGTTCAGGCTTCATGATCCTTTGGAGAATGTATTCTCTCGATTTTCCAGAAATTCTTTCCCTCCTCCAAACCCTCCTACCCAATATCAAGGCTGCCCTTGGCCTTCACTTAATATAATTAATTGATTAATATTTGCTGGTATTAAACATTCTAGGAATCCACACAGTAGTAGCCCCTTGCCATTTTTGCTGGTTGCCCCCTGGAACCTGGAATTCTCTTTTCTTATCTCTGTCTCCTGGTCTCTCTGGCTTCATTCAAGTCCCAGGTAAAATCCCATCTTCTGTAAAACTTTCTTCCTGATTCCCCTTAATGCTAATGCCTTCCCTCTGCTAATTTAGACTATTTTAGGGGGACTCTCTTTTTAGGCTATTTTTCTGTATCTGTATCTTGTTTACAGGTTGTCTGTCCCATTAGTGTCTCTGTTTCTATAAAGATCATAGGTCTGGAGCTGGAAAGGACCTCAGAGACCATTTTTATTTTACAGCTGAGGAAACTGAGGCCTGCAGAGGTTAAGTGACTTGTCTAAAGTGATGTAGGAAGTAAGCATTACAATGCCCACTATGTGCTAGGCATTGTACCAAGGAATTTTACAAATATCTCATTTGGTGAGGTAGGTGCTATTATGATCTCTGTTTTACAGATGGAGAAACTGAGGCAGATAAGTGACTTTGCCCAGGTTTATACAGCTAGTAATGCTAACATCTAAATAGCACTTTATAATATCTCATTTGAGCCTTACAACAACTCTGAGAGGGAGGTGCTGTTATTATCCCCATTTTGCAGATGAGAAAAATGAGGCAGAGGTTAAGTGACTTTCCCAGGGCCACACAGCTGGTAGGTGT